ATATATATATATATGTATATATAAACGAAGTTAGTTAACATTAATAATAAATATGTTTGAGTATCGTTCATTGTTCAAGTTCATTTCAACATGTATTTACTAATACATTTTTAAATCAAAGTTGTATCTGTTAACGTTTTGTGTGTGTGGAGAAATAACATAATTGGTAACATAAATTATTAAATAATTAGCAACAGTACCAGTATGTAGCTACAATATATGAAGAAAAAAATAAGTACATAAACCAAACGAAATGGCAGTTATAATATAGAAATTAAATAAAATTTAAGCAGGCAACATTATGTAGTATTATATATCATCGAGTCCTACAAATTTTCGAATTTTACTTCCGAAATTGCTTGTCTACTTTAATGTAGAAAGACAAAGACATCATCTCATCATGGTTTTAAGCTTTTTTTTTCTTTTTACAAAAAACAAAACGCCATTCATGTTGTATACAAACAGTAAAACGCTTTTTTATTTAGTTCTCTCTGAAACTCACCTGTCATGGTAAATGCGCCGACAAATAATCCAATATCCCTTCCGCCGACCATAATGGTCTCACTGCGATCAACTCCCTCCACCACGCCGGAATTCTTGTTTTTCCATGCTGCCCAGATTCCCACTATAAGGATCAGCAAGTAGAAGATGACAATCGCCACCAACCCCTCCACATGGATGTTCATCTTCTCTCTGCTAAAGTCGTTGTATCTCTAAAGAACCGAAATTCATTGAGACCTAGGGAAAAGAGACCAAAAGAAAAATCTATTCAGAATCAGTCTATTTTGCTTGTAAACACAAAGAAGATGTAGAATTTAGACTTGAACTTATGTCAAATGATTTAAAATGGTTACATTTCTTAATAGTTTTCAGTCACTTTTTTTTTTTTTTTTACATTTCATTCCGAGGACTTCCAACTATTTCATAATTCAACATCATAAGAAAAGTGCCTCACCTTTGTGAATCAGCCGCCAGCCACTCAACTGCCACCAACAGTACAAAACAGAGCCTAACTATAGCCTCAGGAGAAGAGCAGTACAGCACATTTCAGAGTCAGCCAAACTTACTGTGAATCTTATAGGAGCAGGTTTCGTCAGAGGGTAGATGAACGTCAGAGAGATGTGAATGGGGGCTATTTATGAATAAATATGTCAGATCGTGCAAATGAGCCGCGCGTCACTGGAGGTTATCAAGTCAACTGAAAATCGCTAGACGGGGGGAAACTGCTGTAAATCAAGAGTAGTGAAATATATCGGTTCCATTCATGTTTTTCTTGACTAGTATTTCTTGGCAGTCTGTATTGAGTATAAGCGCACTGTCTCAGCAGTGGTGGAGCAGCAAGTGCAGGCGCTGTCCAGAGTGCTGAGTACCCAAGCTGCTCCCGCACCAGCCCCACAAGCTCTTCAGACGCCAGCCAAACGCTCCAAATTCAAGTGTATTGTGAAAAGACAAAAGGAGTACGGAGGTTATGTACAATCTATGTAGACAAGCTGAATATCACTGACATTAAATAATGTTTAAAGAACACGACAGTGTTTCAACAGTGCGTTTTTGTCTTATTTTTTTTTCTGATGTATTTTACACGTTTACACGTTCTTTATTTGTTTTAAACTTTTCTATATATAGGCTAAAAACAAAGCATTTAATAAAACCACCTTTGTTCATGTGGGTTAGGGTCTTAATAACAAATAACGAATTTATTCAAATAATAAAAAAAAAAAACTAGCATTTATTCAGTTATGTTTGACTCTTTTTGTGCTGTGTTCATGGGTTCTAAATTCGCACAGAATTGAACAATTCTTGACATTCTGCCACCCAGTGGCTAAATATAGCGTATAAGATTTCATGATGTGCTTTCCCAGTGGCTTTAGTTGGTTCTGTATGCTAGCTACATGGTAAAGAAAGAAAGAAAGAAAGAAAGAAAGAAAATAAGATAATATATTTATCGACTCAGGAGAGCATTATGGTACTTCAAAATACCAGTTGTATAAACACTTTATAAAAAGGTGCTAAATAGCACTAAAAGTGGTTCATTGGCTCAGCACCTTTGTCAAATTGTGCTATGTAGAACCATTAGAGAAACCCCATTCTCCTCCTGAAAAAAAGCTGTTTTGAATCACTTTTATGCTTTTCTGAGGTCAAAAATTATTGTGTGGCGGCCCTGGAATATATTTCCTTATGGGGGGCCTTGGGGGCAAAAATGTTAAGAAACACATTATCTTCAGGAAATACAGTGTATTTTAATGTCGTTTTTTAAATCCTTTCCCCAACTAAACTAAGATAGAGTTAGAGAACCTTTAAAGAACCACTGGAGAACCGCTGAAGAACCTTTGTGTGTGTGTGTGTGTGTGTGTGTATGTTTTGTGTGTAGCCTACACCTTATAGCCAGGTTAGACCATATTGCATTTAAGCGAATGAAAACGAGGCTGTGATTGATAGACTACAGACGTTGGAACTGTAAAGGTCGGAGCTCACGTGATTTAAAACCAACTTTTATTTATTTATTTCCCCCCCTAGGAAGGACGTTTAGTCAAACTTAAACAACAGTAGACTACAATCCATCAAACACACTGTACACTGTACCTACAACTTCTCTCACTCAAAACCACGTTATGATTCATGCCAAAACTTAAACATGGCGCTACCCTGACTAAGGTTTATAAGAATTTTAATAACATTCACGGTTTTGTGGTATCAGTTTGGTCATGAAAGCTTTTATAGACACTGGACATTACATTTGCTGAAACAGGATTCCCGCGAATTAATCTCCAGAATTTGGTCGCTAATTGCTCTTTAAATTTGACAGTTCAGGGTTTAATTATGCATGGTGGTGTATAAACAGGCTATTCTGAACAAAATGTAACTAATTTCCTCGAGAAATAAGAATCTTCCGTAAAAGAGAGAATGCAACTCTCTAGTCTAAACGAACCAATTTAATGGAGATATCTTCTACCGCAAACGAGTCGACTAGGCTAATTTAACCATTTTGACAGCCTGCCTAGCGAGTCCCAATTATAAGCAGACGGGATCTAACATGTTCCTGTACAGATGTTGCAGTTCTTTGTAGCTTAGAAAAGGCTTGGTCAAGATCCATCAACAGTTTTCAACAGCGTGTCTTTTTTTGGCACAGCTTCTAGAAAATAATAGACCTGGAATTTGGCAGAAAAAAAAGTTATCTGACCGTTTAATGAGAATAAAGGTTGATAAAAAGTCAGATAGGAGAATGACTAGGTATTTTTATGTTTATCTGGATTCACTTGAAATAAAGTGTGTCATTCTGATGTTTTCTTCTAGATCCCTCGGTGCATGGGAACAGTCATGGTGCACAGATTTTGCTCAGCTAATGAGCACACTTCACATCTGTTTCGTGTTCTTTGAAGTGTGTCACAGAGAGATGCACACGCACTTTTTCATGGACAAATGAACAGCAGATTTGACAAAACTGTTAGCAATAATAATAATAACAAACACCAAAACAAAATATATTCAATGTAAAAACGTGTATTACACCTACAACAACCATAATAGGTATGCGCCTATATGCACTATGTAGCTAATGCGACTCGGGTGATACATTTGTGAAGAAAACAAAATACACTTAATCATTTCAAAGAAAAAGGAATTTTAGGAAGATAAAGAAACTCATAGTGTACATTTTATCTCCTGTTAAACTACCTGTTGTCCGTCTTTCAAATGTGAATTACCAAATACGTTGTTACTGCCATCTAGCGGCAAAATGGGGAACTAACTTTCGAAATCACCACCAGTTACGCTGTAACTGGATATGAACGGCTGGTACTTAAAATTTCAGTTTTCCATCTATAATACGGGTACCGTACATTAGAAAGTTCGACATAAAAGAAACTATACTTATGTTCACGGCAGCAGCGGAGAGAAAAAAAAAAACTGTATTCGCCATTTACAAAGGGAGAAGGAAAGTGACAAGCAGTGGGAACTTAGAAGATACAGGGTCCCGCATCAGCGTCACCTCTGTTACGCATGGCTAAACGAGACGATCTGACACTGAGCACGGAGCTCAGAGTCTCCACTGTGTTTTATATCTGCTATCACTTCTTCTCGGGGATCTGCACAGTGTGTCTCTGTGAATCACAAAAGAAGACAATTTGTAGAAGGTTAACTGTGACTTCCACTGGAAGGAGGAAAACTGAGACATTTATCTTAATATCTTCTTTCAAAGAAAGGCATATTGGAATGATATACAAGCGTGAGAAAATGATCACAGAATTTTCATTTTTGGGTGAAAACGAATACCTTTATTCCTTTTATGCTATTAAATTAACTTAGAATGGGCTGGGCTTTGCAGCTATGGTGTTTGAGATGTACTTTGTTGGGTCTGGGGGAATTAATTTGTAAATCTCGTTATTTTGCTAGCAAGGAAGATTCTCTCCTCCACTCAGAAAAATTTAACCTGGACTCAACAAACTTAAGCAAAAACTGACAGTGCTGCATTCCTTTACAACAGATACCAGATCAAATTCTGGCACAAATGCTGCTTGGGCTACACTACAAAATACATATATTCCAAGAGTTCTGATACATAGGCCAGCAGCACTGGGAATTTTCAGTGTTTATACTGTATCACTCTGTTCAGACAAACTGTCAGTGTGTACGTAAGTGGATAGGATTCTTCAGTGACCGTTTCTGCAGGTAACATGGTTATATTAGTAAGTGGCAACAAGTATGAGTGCTATGAGCACATCATTGAATCATTCCTTTAGTATTCCTTTAAGCTCCAGCTGATGTCTTCAATGAAAGCATAGTGCAGCTTTCTCTCTCATAGAGAGAGAGAGATCATACACAGACTAAGCCCCAGAGTTTGTTTATTCTTTAAACATTCTATTACAAGATCCCTTATTGATGAATAAAACAGCAATAAGACGAAAAAAAAATGCTAAAAATCTGTAATCTGTCTAGACAAAACAAGACAAAAATGCAGCAACAATTCCTTTACATATGCTTTTAAAACAACATATTTATGGAAATTAAATAACTCCAGAACAAAGAGAAACATTTCCTTTGTGGTTTGAGGTGTCATAATTTCTCATTTTCATACTGTTCAGAGGCAACATGCATACAATGCATGAAAAAGTAAATCATAGCAAAATAGTGACTAAACAGCACTACTGTACATCACTACGGTAACAAGCTTTGACCAATTTTTTATTTCAAAGCAATGGAATAAACACTGCTTGGGAAAGTTTTCTATCTATTCATAAACAAACATAGCTAAGATATAAAATATTAGCCACGGTGCTCAGCTGTCTGAGAAACTTGTTACAGTGAGTTTCTCAACAGATTTACTTTACAGCATTGGCAGCCAAGAAGAGTAGTGTAATTCATCAAGAGAGAAGGTGCAATGATCAAATATCAGATGCATTGTCAGACAAATTTACACGTGATTATAGCATAATAGCTCAGGTGATCAAAAGTGGTGAAATGGTTTGTGATCTTACTCATTTGGAGGTAGTCAGAAATGTATATAGACAAATGTAATTTTTTGTTTAAATTGTAATGTGCTCTTCATGCATTCTGGACAATAGGGAATCTGTCAATCAATTATTGGGCTAATAGGTTAAACTTCACTAGTTATATGTGGCTTTAAAAGAAAACAACTGTCAGAATAATGTTTGTGGCGAGATTTAAAAAGAAAAGTCTCGACTGACCACTTGTGATCAGATCAACTGAGACAGTTGTTCATACCTAGAGCAAACAGGGCCATAATCAAAGCCAAACAGTTTATTACACTACCAACCTAACTGACAAACACCGTTTTTTGTGCCCAAAGGTGAAGATCTGTTTTGTTTGGCTCCGCCATTGCAGCTGGTGATTTTATATTTCAGGAGGGTTTTACGCTTTCATGGTTCTGATTTGATCTGTTAATGGGAGGGGGAAAAAAACAGAACAAGGATTTAACTCATTATACATTTTGATGCATTTTGACTTATAAAAAGGTTTGAGATAAAGGTGAGATCTTAAAGGGATCTTTAAGGGAAGCCGTGGCCTAATGGTTAGAGAGTCGGACTCATAACACAAAGGTTGTGGGTTCGAGTCTCGTACCGGCAGGGATTGTCGGTGGGGGGAGGGAATGTACAGCGCTCTCTCCCACCTTCAATACCACGACTGAGGTGCCCTTGAGCAAGGCACCGAACCCCCAACTGCTCCCCGGGCGCCGCAGCATAAATGGCTGCCCACTGCTCCGGGTGTGTGTGTGTTCACTGCTGTGTGTGTGCACTTTGGATGGGATACTTTCACCGTGGACGAAGCGGAGTCCAGCCCGGGGTCGTCACATGTGGTTGCCGCAGGCATCACAATATGGTAAGGGACGTAACATTTCCGTCACATGCTTGAGGTATTCGGCCAATCACAACGCATTGGATAGCTGGCCAATCAGAGCACACCTCGCTTTTTCAGATCGATGAGCTTTGTAAAAATCGACGCATTTCAGAAAGGCGGGGCATAGAGGAGAAACAATAATGTACAGTATGTGGAAAATAATGTGTTTTTTTAACCTTAAATCGCATAAACACATTTCATTACACCAAATACACAAAATAATGTTCTTTTTAGCAGCATCATATGACCCCTTTAAATTGTTGGATTGATTGGACCAAACTAAAACACTGGGTAGAGGAGAACAGACAGCTGTGAACTTCATTGTTACCGACTTACTCAAATGCACCTCTAACAACAAGAAGGAGGGGGGGTCTGAAATAGTTTGGGCTGTATCCAATCTTTGAGATACCATCAAATGATTATTTGCCTTTGAATTTCTTCTATAAGGCCAAAGTGAAGTGTAAATTGGTGCAAGAATAAATACAGGCCAAAAGTGAGTTCTAACATTAAAGTTATATTTAACTGTACAATTAACCAAAGATCACACACATCTGGGAACTCACGCTTCAGTACTTACTGTGGAATTTGTTCTATGGGTGAAATAAAACAAGAATATAAAAGGCATTTGAACACTGCAAACAGTTTATATAGTATATAAATTTTTTTGTGGCACCCTTCTTAAAAAGCATTTGAGCTCATCTCTGTAGAAACTAATAACTTAAAGACAAACAGGAAATTAGATGCACAAAACAAGGAATAGGTGTATTTACCTTGCAGCCAGTCTACACCCTCCTGGAGACCTTCTCCTTTCACTGCATCACTTGCACTGTAATTTATTTAATATATGAATTTAATATGTATACTGCATGTGTATAACATATATGCACAATACCATTCAAATATTTGGGGTCAGTATGAATTCTTTTTTTTTTATAATACTTTTATTCAGCAAGGACGCATTAAATTGATCAAAAGTGGCAGTGAAGCTGCTTACATCGACTACGTTTACATGGACATCAGTAATCAAATGATTTACCTTATTCTAAATAAGCCAATATTATGATTGTGGTGTTTACATGAGTTGCTTTTTGAATATTCCTTTCATGTTCCCGTTTTACAGGTTATAGTACATAGATCGATTAATGGCACACGTCATTACGTCACCACGTGACGCCATCCGACGTCCCCTCCGGAATTTCAATAAAATAGGAATACTCCACATGTCTTAACTCGATTTCTGTTTACTTCGAATATGACTTTAGCCGGATTAAGGAAATCAAAAATCTCTGTTTACATGGTAGATTCTTAATCATTGTCTTAATCGTGTTAAAATCGGAATATTGTTGTCCATGTAAACATACTCACTGTTACAATGTTTTATTTCAAATACAAATTTAACTTTCTATTCATCAAACAATCCACAAAAAAGTATCACTGTTTCCACAAAAATAAAAAATTAAGCAACACAACTTTGAAAACAAAGTGCATTGATAATAATAAGAAATGTTTCTTGAGCATCAAATCAGCTTATTAGAATTTTTTTTTTCTGAAGGATCATGTGACACTGAAGACTGGAGCAATGCATTACAGGAACAAATTACATTTTAATATTACAGAAAATAATTTATTTTAATAAAAAAATAGTTGACCATATTACTGTTTTTACTGTAGTTTTGATCAAAGAAACACTGCTTTGGTGATCGTGATAAACTTCTACATTTTTTTACAGACTCCAT